CAAACAATTTCTAATATCGTTTTACAACGATAACGACGACTTTGACCTTCCTCATACAGCCAGCAGTGAAAGACCAAGTCTCATTTCTGTAGATTATCACTGGCAACACACTGTTCTAGGGAAGTAATAAAAGAAAAAATCTTTTAACTGTGGTAAGGCCACGCAGCAGCCTCGGCTGTTGCACGAATGGGCAGGCTCGTCCGGGTAAGTACCACTACCTCACAGAAGACCGGCTTGAAGTGGAAGTATAACGCTTTCGCGTTTCGTCTGGTGTGTGAGGTAGCCGGAGCCCAATTTCAAAAGGTTGTTAACGCTTCTGAAACCCTTGGATGTAGCAGATGTCCATGGGTAGCGGTATTCACTTAACATCAGGTGAACCGCCTGCTCGCTTGGCAACTTTTCATATAAAAAAAAACGAAATGTCTCTTCAACATCAGTACATCCGTGTCGAAGCGTACCGCCCGCTTTAAAACCGTCCCCAGGTGCCGAATCGCGTGCACCCAGCGGTGTCAACGACCAGCGCAACGATATTGGGCGGCAAAAAAGGCCGCCGGCCATTTTGAATTCGCGTCTCGCCGATCGTTGCCCGGGAGGTGTGCAGTTGGGGCCGCGGAAACGGCGTTTCGTGTTCGCTTTTGCAAATTTAATGTTTTAACATTTTAATCGATAACGGTTAAGCTTCTTAGGCGTAACACGAAAGAGAAAGAAGATATAATATGGAGAGAAGTTTCTGCTACGGCAGGTGGTTCACCCGACCTTTAGTCCACGTTCCGCCACAATTACTTCTACTTTATATAATTACATTGGTCTTTTGTGCAGCTGTGGTATTTCCCGACACGAGTTTAAGATTCTCTTTGAGCAATTTAGGTTACCGAAATCAAAAACCTGTTCATAAATTTCAAAAGATAAAATACTTATAAATGATAGTATTATTAAATAATTTGATTTAATCAAGCTTTGCACACTATGTCTTGTTTATAGTTTTGAAGTTTTAGTCTTTTGGCGCGTTTGGAAAAAAGAGCATAGTAAAATTTTTACGATGCGCGCGCACACCGACCCTCAAAAAACGATATGATGCTTGGTAACTAATTAAATCTCGGCAACCAATAACAAAATTTTGAGTTTTACCTATAATTCTAAGTTATTTATTGATTGAACCATAGGTCTAATTGATATACGGTTACACGTAAGTTTTTGTTTTCTAGATGACACGAAGAGCCAGGACACCAGCTAGTATCTTTATATATATATATATATACATATACAGCGTGTCGTTACCATCGCGACAATAAATGAACACACGTCTAACGCTACTTGCCAATAATCATAAAAAAATATTAACGATAAACAAAATCCATAATTAAAAAAAAATATTTTTCAAACAAACTAATTAAGTAAAAAAGACACAAAATTTGTAACATCCTATACAACTCGCGCCACAGCGTCGCATTACAAGCCTCTCCTTCTAACAGTATGTTTTGTCTCTTTTAAATTCATTCAACCCATTCATATACTTTGTGACCTTTACAAATGAACTTACGTTACAGTTTTATACGTAAGGGTGTTCTAAAATTCTTTGTTTTGGACCATTACATACCATTTTTAAAAGTTATCCTATATATGTGTGTTCATTTATTGTGGCGATGGTAACGACACGCTGTATATATATATATATATATATATATATATATATATATATATATATACATATACATACATTAGTTTTGATTCACAATACGGTCCCTATTTTTTTATTTATAAGTTGTTTTTGGATTTCAGGCGTGTTTACAGGACAACGTCTGTCCGCTAGTATTTATATAAAAGTATATACATGAAGGCAGTTACTTTCATCAAGTCATTGAATATCTTATCCTTTAAACGAGCCATTCTTGTATATATATATATATATATATATATATATATATATATATATAATCGGAATCTCGGAAACGGCTCCAGCGATTTTCATGAAATTTTGTATGTGCATAGATTCGGGGGCGGAAAATCGATCTAGCTAGGTTTCATTTTTAGAAAATGTCCTTTTATCCCTGTTTTCAGGGAATGAAAAATATAATTCGAATATGACGGTAAATTTCGCCGCAAGAGCAAATGTCATAATAGCTCGGTCGGTAATCGGGTGGCCCCAAAACAGACGGCCGTGGTTCGCGTCACGATCATTTACACACTTTTTTTTTTTTACTTTTTTTTGATTCCAGATCATTGCTTTCTTTATTTTTAATTTTTTGTCGATTTGTTATTTTGTTATTTTTTTCCCTTTTTTTTTAAAGTTCTTTCTTTTGTGAAAAACATCAGTTCATATTTTCTTATTATTACGTCGGTAAGATCGATAAATTAAATTTCCAAAATACACGATTTACCAAAAAAAAAAAAACCGAGCAAAGCTCGGTCCTCCGAGTACTTCCCATTAAAGGTCAAACCAAACGATTGAACCTCTGACATTAGCAATTTAGGTCATCAGATTACCGCAAGTCGTTCCGCTCAACGAACCGCTTGCCCTCTGGCCGCGCGAACCGCGCGTACAAAAAGAGCCAAGATATCGCGGACGCGTTTTTATGCATTCGTCGCAAAGCAGACGCGTTAACATGTCCCGTACATTCGGCCCAACAAACAAGCGGGCAGTCAAGTTTTAAGCAAAAAGCGATTTTTAAAGCATAAATGATTTTTGAAACTACGACGCGCGCACAGCCCGACACGGAAAAAGCGACATGATGAAACGGGTTGAGAGGCGTTCTTCGACCACCTTCACGGTATTACGATGGCAATCAATAACAACTTTTTGACATTTACCTATGAATCCAATTAATTTAATTGAACCGTTGTCGATTGAATTTAATGTTATTTTCTCAAACAAAGAGTACTTACTGACTGGCAGGGGATAAAATGTTTTGTTATTTTTCTTATGTTACGATAAAGGAGTATAATTTGTACATTACATTTTTTATTACATTTACGTATAGTTAGTGAGATATTTGAAGTCGTGTAACTTAACTGTGGTAGAGCCACGCAACAGTGTTCTATGTTGCACGAATGGGCAGGTCCGGATAAGTACCACGACCTCACAAAAGACCGGAGGAAGTGTTACAGTTCTGCGTTTCGTCTGGTGAGTGAGGTAGCCGGCGTCCACTTTATTGCACGGTGGCAACGCGTTGACTACGCTACGGGTGTTGCAAATGTCCATGGGCGGTTATCAATTAACATCAGATGAACCGCCAGCTCGTTGGCCACTTTCGCACATAAAAAAAAGTTGGCTTTATTTGAATAAACAGTACATTTATTACATAACATACACAGACTCATATAATTATGCGTCTTCCTACAACTGTCTTAATTGCTTCATAATTGTTTTTGAGGGAGCGCTTTGTGGCGGTTCTCAATCACCATCCGGCGGTGTCTGTATTATTTTCAATGAAATAAATGTGTCCAATAAATGTGTGTTACAACAGTGTCCATGTCAAATTAAATTCTTATATATATTTCATACTAGGGCCCCAGCTTCGCACGGGTGAAGTTTGAAAGATCTAAGCATACATAAGGACAGACAGCGGGACGACTTTGTTTTATACTATGTAGTGATGCACAGCAATGCGACGTTTACATTTCAAGTGACATTTAGCCACAGTCACTCACTTGTTTAGCCTTCCCGGAAACCCTCCACTAACACTTAAACTTTATGGTATGATATTAAAGTTCAAATTGACTTTTAAGTATTAGTACCTGGAGGATCGAGCTTTGCTCGGTTTATTTTTTTTTTTTTGTAAATCGTGTATTTTGGAAATTACATTTAGATACAAATTACTGAGTAATGAAATATGCATAATATTTTTCGATCTTACCGACCTAATAATAAGAAAATATGAACTGGTGTTTTTCACATAAGAAGGAACTTTAAAAAAAGGGAAAAAAGTAACAAAATAACAAATCGACAAAAATAAAAAATAAAGAAAGCAATGATCTGGAATCGAAAAAAAAAGTAAAAAAATAAGTATCTTGTATCTTGTATTAACTGATGTTTTTGCTTTCAGTCCCGAGACTATTAAAGCTTCATCTGACGCAGAACCGGTGGGCTAGCCAGAACCCACGGGTTTGGGTAAAAAATAAGTATGTAAATGATCGTGATACGAACCGCGGTCGTCTGTTTTGGGGTCGTCCGATTACCGACCGAGCTATTATAAAATTTATTTTTGCGGCGAAATTTACCGTCATATTCGAATGATATTTTTCATTCCCTGAAAACAGGGATAAAAGTTCATTTTCTAAAAATGAAACCTAGCTAGATCGATTTTTCGCCCCCGGATCTTCGCACATACTAAATTTCATGAAAATCGCTGGAGCCGTTTCCGACCTCCCTTCTCCATCCTCGTATTTCAAGGAATATTATAAAAAAAGAATTAGCGAAATTGGTTCAGCTGTTCTCGAGATTTGCGCCTAGCAACACATTCAGCGATTCATTTTTATATATAGAGATATACATTGTTCCATTAAAGATATTCATCGCAGTCCAGCCGTTTTTCGATATTGTTTGTTCCCAGTATTCATATTATGGCATGGTGTGTTCTTCCAATGAAGTTCTAATGTTTTGTATAGATTTGGCACATCCATAACCAAATTTTGTAGTTGGGAGAAAACTATTATTTTATGGATTATTTTTTATTACTTTTGTTACTCGAGATGAAACCTTAAAGTAAACTTAAACAAGTTTTCTAACGTTATAGTTCGGATTTCTTTTTTCAAATTTGATATATTGTACAATTGGCCGCTGCACCTTGGATCTTAGAACTCTCCTTGGAACTTATTGCTGAAATAATATTACGCAAAAAATATGTTGACCGGTGACGACGTTAAGAATTTGTGACAACACGTACTCTTGAAACAGTTTCCGTTATACATTCCGATCTTAAAGGCATAACAGGCATATAAGGCCTTAATTTTGTAAGTGCTGTACAAGTTTATTGTCTCAACCGGATCTTCCGTTGTTCCAGGTGCGCGGGGGTAGTACAGGGGCACCCCCGCCCGCGCCACCCTCCCTCGTCGAGGAGAAGAGGACTCCACTGCAGCCGCAGCAACAGGGCAGAGCGCAGCCTCCGCCAGGTGAGTCACAAGACCTGTTCTGCCCTCCATTGGCACTCCTTGTATTTTCTTATTTTAAAAGACATCGCCCTTAATGTAGGATAACATTATATTGTGTTGTAAGGACCCACGCAATGGTATTCACTGTTGCACGATGGGCAGGCCCGTCCGGTACCATGACCTCACAGAAGACCGGCGTAAAGTACAAGTGTTACACTTCTGCGTTTCGTCTGGTGAGTGAGGCAGCCGGGGCGCTGCACTTTATTAAAAGGTGGCAACGCTTCTGCAACCTTAAGGGTGTTGCAAATGTCCATGGGCGGCGGTTATCATTTACCATCAGGTGAACCGCCAGCTCGTTTGCCACTTTGTCACATAAAAAAAGGACGCTTTACATACGTGGACAAACACCCAGATCAAAATTGTGACTCGAGCAATTTAGTAACATAAATATGTAACAACAGATGACGATGAATCAGTGGCACAGTTGCCAGGCTAATGGTATCGCCGCCGGTCGTCGTGGGTTCGATTCCCACACGGGACAGTTATTTGTGTGACCGACACATAATCGTTCCGGATTTGGGTGTTTGTCCAAGTGAAGTTTATTTATTTAAAACGTCCCAGGATAATGTTATCTCACAGTAAGAGGGTCTAATGTTTTCGAAGGTAAGACTACAAAACATATTTTTAGGTCATAGTGGTGGTTGGGACCCAACCCTTTTAACAAAAAAAAATACAATGCCCCAATCGCCTACAATGCATATGTCAAAATAAATACAAATAATTTCGAAGATATGTGAAGTCCGCCAATCCGTAGTGGGTCCACGTGGTGGACTATGCCCTGATACCCTCTGTACAGAGGAGGCCTTTGCCCAGCTGTGGGACATATATACAGACTTTACTTTTGTATGCTACCTGAGTCTGTGTTATTGAAATATCAGAAACGAATCCGTTCAGAGTACTCGTATAATTTACTTGCCAATTAATAAGACTGCGGGTGTTTTGTTGACATATATGGAGACTTTCACACATTCTGAGAAATCAGTTAATTGGATGAGTTATTTATAAACATTCTCCAATCTTCTTTCGCCTTTTCAATACAACAATGTTCATTGCTAGTTATCCTCTATTATAAATAACTTGGCCCTTGGCACTTGACTCTTATCTAAAGAAAAATTGTGATATCTTCGTTCATAGTAAAGTTATTAAAGTATTTGGAAAACGGCGTTTTGTGTATGCCCCACAAGTTCACTGTTGTGAGTTCTCTTGTGGTGGAGATGTTAATCCACTAGGATGAACATACTTGAACATATTTTTAAGCAAAGCATTTGTACTACGGTAACTACTAAATTACCATAGTACAAATATGCTTTGCTTAGTTTGGGACTAGATAACTTTGTGCAAAGATATGTCCTGAAATATTTATTTCTTATATCTTATCATTATTTTTTTTATCTTTCTTTTTTTAAACTCTACGACCTTACTGTAGGATAACGTTATCCTGTGTTATAAAGACATAACATGACAGATCCGAAACATTTATCTGTCACACAAACTGTTTTCCCGTACGGGAATCGAACCCACGACCCTCGGCGCCGAAGCCGGTACCCCGGCAACCGCGTCACGGAGTCATCAGTATTTATTTATTGAAGTTATACTTCTTTAGGCGCGTTATGAAAGAAATGATGAGAGTGACATTTTAAGATGCGTGCGCATCACTGTAACACAAAAGTCACACCTTTGAAGCTACCAGCAAATTTCTATAGATGCCAGCATATTCTCAATCACATTCGCCCGTTACAGTTCTCAATCAAGAATGTAGATGGCGCTCTCATAATTTTATTATTTTTATCATTCATATCCTTTTCCTTTGGGACGGAGCCACGTTGCAAATGGCTCATACGTTCGCCCGTGTGGCTTCGCGTCGTGATCGCAGTCTTTCGTTTTTGCAGAGCCAGTCGCCGCCGCCCCTCCTCCACCGAAGGCGGCCGCCGTTAAGCCGCCGAAGAGCGCCAAGATTCCGCAGAAGGTATGTCAACCTGTTAACCTTTTTAAAGCCTCGCTGAAATGTTACTAGGGTGTACGACAAGTGCCGCACTCTACTTTGGTCCAATTTGGCTTAAAGTAATTCTCTTCAGCCGGTACTACCAAACACCGAGTGTGCGTCATACGCCATTTTTCTTCAACGGTGGCTCAGGCTGTCTCCAATAACGGGCTTAGTTCCCTCAACGACTTAAACACGTCAACTATCCTCGAAGCTGTTTAAAATTATGTCATAGAGTCAAGTATTGTCAAGCAAACTGGGCTTGCGTGCTCAATGCATCTTTTTTTTTATGTGTGAAGATGCCAAGCGAGCAGGTGGTTCACCTGATGTTAAGTGAATATCACCGCCCATGGCCATCTGCTACACCCGAGGGTTGCAAATGCGTTGACAACCTTTTGATAATTGGGCTCCGTCTACCTCACTCACCAGACGAAACGCGAAAGTATTATACTTCCACTTTAGGCCGGTCTTCTGTGAGGTCGTGGTACTTATCCGGACGAGCCCGCCCATTGGTGCAACAGCCGAGGCTGCCGCGTGGCCCTTCCACCGTAAATACTTAAACACATCAACTATTCCTCAATGACTTAAACACATCGAATATCCCCGAAGCTGTTTATAATTATGTCGTAGAATCAAATCTTGTCAACCAAACAGCGCTTGCGTGCTCAATGGCATCTTCAGCTATAACCAGCAGTACCTTCCACCTATTCGGGCTTTTTTTATGTGTCAAAGTTCTCAAACGAGCAGACGGTTCACCTGATGTTAAGTAAATACCGACGCCTATGGACATCTGCTACACCCGAAGGTTGCAGATGCGTTGACAACCTTTTAAAAATTTATTTTATTAGTGCGGTACGTGCGGTACACGCTCCATTATAAAGATCGCCGGCGCAAACTTTTGATGTGTACTTAATACGAACAGACGTACTTGTTTCCTGGACTTGTGTCGTCATCATCATTTAAGCCCGATTGAGTCCACTGCTGAATATAGTGAACATACCATTTGATGACTCCGTGGCGTAGTTGCCAAGGTATTGGCTTCGGCGTCGGGGGTGGTGGGTTCGATTCTCACACGGGAAAACTATTTGTGTGACCCACAAATATTTGTCTCGCATCTGGGTGTTTGTCCGCGTAAAATTTTTATGTTTGTAAAACGTCCTTACAACACAGGATAATGTTATCCTAAAGTACGGGCAATGTTAAAAAATAAAAAATAGGCCTCAAACACAGACTGCCGCGAAGCACGATTCTGAGCCACCTGCATCCGTTGGCTTCCCGCACATTTGCACAGGTCGTCACTCCATTTTTTTTTTTTGGGAAAGTTGTCAAACGAGCAGACGGTTCACCTGGTGTTAAGTGAATACCGCCGCCCATGGACATCTGCACACCCGAGGTAGCAAATGCGTTGACAACCTTTTGAAAATTGGGCTCCGGCTACCTCACTCACCAGACGAAACGCGAAAGTATTGTCATACTTCCACTTTACGCTGGTCTTCTGTGAGGTCGTGGTACTTACCCGGATGGACCTGCCCATTCGTGCAACGGCCGAGGCTGCTGCGTGGCCCTACCACCGTAAGCCACTGCGATGTCCAGTGCGAGGCTGCCACTCGAGAACCTTTCTTCCCCATCGATTCTCGGTTCTTCGACCTAATGGCCGGCCCACTGCCATTTTAGTTTACCAATCCTCTGAGCTATATCGGTTACCTTTTTTTCACTGCGGATCTCTTCATTTAGTAAACTTTGTCATAGACGCAGAGAAATACCGTGTCGTGAGTGTTTTATTATTCACTAGTGACCCGCCCCGGCTTCGCACGGGTGCTATGTAGATACTAATGCTGCCACCGCATTCGGTTGGTGTGTATATAATAATATATTTATTATTAGGCGCTGCCGCCCAGATTTGCCTGCGTGAACCGCTAAGTTTTGTTGCGTTATTTTAAGATGTTTCAATTGAAAAAAGATATTCATTTAAATTGCGTGGTGTAAAAGGAAATTATCATGTAGGTACATAAATGTTTAAGGTAACTAAAGTGTTTAATTGATAAGGACAATTGTCGTATCCGTCTAAATAGCTTTCCAAATTGCACATATTTTGTATCAATTCTTTTTAACATTAAAATGGTTATAGATAGCTATACATTTAGTGAAGAATTAGGTCGTCGCTGACTTTTTTGAAGTTTTAATAAAGAGGAACAATTCTATCATAAAATCAGAAAATGTGCGTAAAGTGGAAGTATGACAAATACTTTTACTTTTACGCGTTTTGTCTGGTGAGTGAGGAAGCTGGAGCCCAATTTCCAAAAAGGTTGTCAACGTATCTGTAACCCTCGGGTGTAGCAGATGTCCATGGGCGGCGGTATTCACTTAACATCAGGTGACCCGTCTGCTGGTTTGGCTTTCGCATACCGCAACCGTTATTTTATCATATTTCAAAAGAATCGGGCATTTTGGGTGAAAGCTGTCAGATGAACTGATTTTTTTTTTAAAAAGCTATCCTCATATTTCAATAAATTAACCGAAAACGGTATCAAAATATACCTAAACACCTTTCTCCCGAATCACACTGTATCTATTGACAAAATCGCACTAAATTCAGATGCGTAGTTTAAACGTCTAAGCGTACAAACGGTGGGAGGCGATTTTATTTTATGCTATGATAAAGGTAAAGACTAGCAGAGCAGGCGGATAAGTTAGCGCGTATATCGTATAGTACTTGGAGATATACAGGTGTGCCAGACAGATGTATAATATTGGAAGCTGTGTACGTAATATGTGTATGTAACGTAACAGTAGCTAATGAATTAGATTTGTTCCATTGCTCATTGAACTAGTTCACATTGGCTACGTTCCATGTTCTCAGTGTTTAGTTTTAGTTATATTAATAGTTACATATTTCCCCAAAACTGTATTCGAACTTCACTATCGCATTAGGTACTGCCTGTAATGATAGTTGTAAGGTGATGTGTAAAATAAAATAAAGTATATTAGACTTTGAATTAATTGCATATCGAGTTTTTACTTATTTTGGTTTTCGTTGTCACTAGACTTGCAGGGAGAGGGCCTGTGCCCACGACACTTTTGCAACAGCCTGTTGTTAGTTCCGCTCCTTGTACATCTTCGAATAATTAGCTCCTTTATTAACCATAGGACTCGAAGGACCATATTATGTTAGGGTCCAAATAAAACTTGTGGAACACTAACATAATAAATTTTTATTGTAATAGAAAATTACAATTATTTTATTAGACTTGTCAGAGCAATTGACCGGTCGTGGCTTTTCTTCTGTTCCTCAGTTGTCAGTGTGCCGGTGTTGTCATAGACAAAATTATACAATATTTATTAAGGCGTTTATAAAGTATGTTACTTATGTGCAAAGTATTGTACACATAACACCCGCGCTAACCATTTAGTAGGGCAATGAATGCAAGTCAAACCAAAAAGAAAATTCAAGCTAGAACGAAAGATCGCGGTGAACGCCTTCTGCAAATTTTCTGCTTATTTCAATGCGAAGTCGTCAAGAAAGACTACCGTTGATTTACTGACGACCGGTAGCCAGCCGCCATCCGATGCTGAAAAATAATATACAGCGTGTCTTTACAATCGCGACAATAAATGAACACACATATAAAGGATAACTTCTTAAAATTGTATTAAACATATTTACTTTCTTTAAACATCAATATTTACAGAGTTATTAAATTTTCCAAAACAAAGAATCTTAGAAGACCCTTACGTATAAAACTGTATCTTAAAATTCATTTGTAAAGGTCACAAAGCATATGAATGGGTTGAATGAATTTAAAAGAGACAAAACATACTGTTAGAAGGAGAGGCTTGTAATGTGACGCTGTGGCGCGAGTTGTATAGGATGTTACAAATTTTGTTTTTTTTTTATTTAATTAGTTTGTTTGAAAAATATTTTTGTTGTTAATTATCGATTTTTTTTTAACGTTAATATTTTTCATGATTATTGGCAAGTACCGTTAGACGTGTGTTCATTTACTGTCGCGATGGTAACGACACGCTGTATATCTGTTTTTAATTAAGGAAAATAATTCCCAGCAACGTTATTTAAGCGATTTCAAGCCGCCCAATCGATTACGTCGCGCCGATATGGATTTAGAAACGGTTGAGGTTATATGTGTATTTTATATAACTCACCGTGCGATGGAATCATTGATATGGTTCGCGAGAACCGAGCTCGCTTCGGGTTAGGTTACGGAAACTGGATCTGGTGCGGACGCCTAAGGGTCCGTATGTTTTTTTTTTCTTATGGGAAAAAAGCAGCAAACGAGCAGGAGGCTCGCCTGATGATAAGTGATCTTCTCCGCCCGTGGACACCTGCAGCACCAGAAGGCTTACAAATGCGTTGCCGTCCTTCTAGGAAAGAGTGTGCTCTATTCTTGAAGATTCCTAGGTCGGAACGGTTCGGAAAGACCGCCGGCGGCAGCTGGTTCCACAGAGTGGTTGTGCGAGGCGGGAAATGCACGGCATTAAGGCCTCAGGATCCAATAGGATTCATCCGTACATCCGTATCAATTGGGACGCCTCGACATCCACCAGGGTCCTCTGGAAGTAGTATATTTGGCGTGCGATGTTTCTTGTAGGAGATCGTAAGATAACACGTATGTGGTGAAATAAAGATATTTGGCATTACATAAACTTGCTTAACTTGAATAAATTTATAACTTTTGGCTATATTATATATTAAAAGTTCGACCTGGATACAGAACAACGATCTATCTGTAGGTCATACAAATTTTTGCCCCAAGTGGGAATAGAACCCAGGACACGTGGCGCCGAAATCTATCGCTTTTATCCGTCTCTATCGTGTGGAATAATGGAACGAATAAATAAAAATATTCTCCAGATCTTGTATCCCACTGAACACTTCTTTTTAAATTCCCGGCATCTTGAACTCCTCGCGACGTCAATGTTACGGAACAGACAGTTGTCATGCCCTGGTGTCATCAAACTTGTGCCAAGTGCGAGTCGGAATCGCACACGAAGGGTTCCGTGCGGCAAAAATGTCTGTTGTATGGGAGCCGCACTTAAATATTTTTTATAGCTCCAACAGAAATACATCATCTGTGAAAATTTCATCACTCTAACTATCACGGTTCACGAGATACATACAGCCTGATGATAGACGGACAGACAGACAGACAGCGGAGTCTTAATAATAGAGTCCCGTTTTACCCTTTTTGTTTTACCCTTTG